TGTGTGTGTGTGTGTGTGTGTGTGTGTGTGTGTGTGTGTGTGTGTGTGTTTAATTGCTCTTTTAGCTACTTTTGCCTGAACCTAACACTGTAAGTGAAACAAGGCATTTCTTGAGTTGCTGTAAATTATGATATAAAACATATTTACTGTCTCATTCCAGAAAACAACAACAACAAACAACAACATCCTTCATGATGGACAGACATCATGGACACCACAGCAGCAGCTGTCTTCACTGAAACATCCTGAACATGATCGTCACTGACATGAGGCCTCTGTCCATGGTTGAAGACGAAGGCTTCACTACAATAATCCACACTTTTAATCCAGGTTACAATAATCCACACTTTTAATCCAGGTTACAATAATCCAAACTTTTAATCCAGGTTACACTCTTCCCTCAAGGACACATTTTACAAAGTAGCTACATATTGTGCAGGTATAAAGACACATTTGTATATATTTTTGTGTACATTTATTTTTTTTAAGCTATTTGACTAACTTTTTATTATTCAATATTTTACTAACAGAATAGTCAAATAGCAACCTGTTTTTTATGTGAATTGCTATGTCAGTCAAATGTTCAATTTTGGAATAAAGGGGTGGAAATTAAAACTGTTTTTGTTTTTAATTTGTCGATTAATCGAAAAAATTATTAGCCGATGAATCGATTATTGAAATAATCGTTAGTTGCAGCCCTATATGAGTCCTTAAAACTCCTAAGGGCTGATGAAGGAAAGCCTTCCTTTCATCTGATGTCCGTCAACACCCAGGAGCTCCAGTGTGTGCTAGAACCCCAAAGGACTCTAATGCTTCCCAAGTCAACCTAAAGGATCTAAAAAAGTTAAATCTGGTCCTCTGGACATTCAAAAAACAAAACAAAAAAAACGTAGAAACGTTTCGTCTCTCATCCGAAAGACTTCCTCTGTCTGAGGTGCTGTATTCAGCTCAGTTTTATAAATAGCACCTTCTCAGAGTGGATCAACCAGTTTTGCTGCTGACAACCAGAACCAGCTGATCACATGCTCAAGAAGGACCATCAGCCTAACAATGGATCATTAGCACCTGATGGCTGTTTACTATTCTGGTGCAGAGAGAATAACCTTCACATCAATGTGAAGAAGACAAAGGAGATGATTGTGGACTTCAGAAGGAACAAAAACACCTACACCCCCCTGACCATAAGAGGATCTGCGGTGGAAGTGGTCTCCAGCTACAAGTACTTGGGTGTATACATGAATGACAACCTCAGCTGGAGCAACAACACCACCAGCCTGATCAAGAAAGTTCATCAGAGACTCTACTTCCTCAGACGGCTGAGACGAGCTGGTCTGGGAAGCTCAGTCCTCACCTCCTTCTACAGGTGTGCAGTGGAGAGCATCCTGTGCTCCAGCATCAACGTGTGGCATGGAGGCTGCACAGCTGCAGAAAGAAAAGCTTTGCAGAGAGTGGTGAAGGCTGCACAGAAATCTGTTGGAATCAGTCTCCCCACCATCACAGACATCTACACCTCCAGATGCAGGAAGAGGGCCACCTGCATCATGAAGGACCCCACCCACCCAGCACACACACTTTTTGCCCCACTCCCCTCAGGAAGGAGGTTAAGGAGCATTAAGTGTAGAACCACTAGACTGAGGAACAGCTTCTACCCTGAGGCTGTTAGACTCATGAATCTCTAACTAGAATAATCACTGTGAAAAACCATATCATGTTGCTGCTGATCTGTTTCATGTTGCTGCTGATCTGTTTCAATGTTGATGTGTTCATGCGTGCACA